CCCCTCCAAGATGCGCAACCCAGCGCCACAGTTCAAGTAGTAGAGCTGGAGAATGTGAGGCCCGGCTGCGCGCTTTGCAACTGCTCGAGCGAACAAGCACTCAGGGTGTGGCTCTAAGGCACTTATTGCGCACGCGCAAAACATCACTGGCCATTTTGACCACTTCACTCTGAGGCGTCTCATCGCCTTTGAGGTCACGCTGAAAGGATAGAAAAAAGAACTAGCTGCGCCGAGAGACTTGATCTCACACGCAAAACAGTTGCTCTCAAAATTGCAAAGGCAACTTTTCAAGCGATAAAGTGCGCTGTCAATGTCGGTCAAGGTTCGGTTTGGGTCCTGCAAGTCTCACCTTTTTCTTGCACAGTGTCTCAAACAAAGGTTTGCCACCTGCTTCAGGAAGGCATCTTCATATTCAAACTCTATCGTAGGACACAGGACACATGAGCTACGACTCTTCCATCACTTGCACTGCAAGCCCACTTCAGCATACAATCGGAACTGTTGGCAGGTGAACTATGGGGTGGCTGGAGCTCAAAGGATACATGCAAATCTTCGCCTCGTTTTGTCCTCTCTTGCGCCTTTCAGGTGAACTCATCAATATCTTCGGCAGCTTCTTAACGTCGTTAGCCAAATCTTTCAAAACCGCCTCGACAAGTTCTGCTGGCATCTCAAACAGCAAAAGTGCATCTTGGGTCTCAGGTCCAATTGCACCCAGCTTTGACTGCTTGTGCGATAGGTGTCGCTTGAGCACATTACCACTGCTGGTTGGAGTAGTTGTGTACGCCACTTCTCCCGCGTTAACTCTTTCAGGAGACATTGACAAGGCATCCATGGCCAGGAAATGATCGGCATTTGTGCAAACCCGCAGCATTAGATCGCCTGGCAAAGCCTTCAAATCAAAGCCACTCCCGCAAACCACGTGCTTCAAGGAAAGAGCATTCACCAGATCAACTATTGGAGAAATCTGCGTGATTTGGCCTTTCTGCGCACGTTTGTGCAAGGATTGCACTGACTGCAAGGGAGCCTTATTCCCTGTAGCCATGAGGGAAGCTAACCGGCACCAAAGCTCCAAGCGCTGTTTCCTGATTCCGCTATCACATGGTTTCTTGCAAACTTGCCAAAAAACCTCTTCGACCGCCGCATCTCGGTCTGCATTCTCAAAGCCCAAAACAAGAACCTCGTCTTGATCTTCATTACCGACAAACTTAGGCAACCACTTTTCAAAAATCCATTCTGCTCAAGTGTGCAAAGTCTTGACTTGACTTGACATGATGCAAGGTTGTTCAAATTACTTGCTTTCTATATACCTGCGCCCGTTGTGTTTTGCGTTACAAACAAACGCCCTTGTTCTTTGTCTGGGCAAGGCCTTGTTGCCCAAATGGCGCAATGTCGCAAAACAGCCAGACTACGCCAGCGTGGCCACAAAAAGCAGCACAATGGGTGCCCCCCAAAAAAGACCTTGGCCCTTCCTTAAGGACAACTTGTTTGGTCCTCCTGCTCCGGGGTTGTTAGATAAGTTTACCGGAGTACCCATATAGTGGTTGAAACATTCAGGACCTCGTTCACAGAGTTCTGGGTTTCACACTGACAAGCGTGTATACAATTACAATCCAGTCACTTGCACGTTTGTTCCATATACCCACAATGACACTTGGCGCGCAACTCTTCAACTATATACTAGGTGCATGTCCTCTACATACTACATCATACTACCACATCATCACTCGCATCTGGACCACAAAGCAACGGCAAGTGTGTGCGTGTGTGTGTGTCAACCCCTGTTCCAAAGGGTGCGACCTTCCTTTGAGACAAGCAGGGGGACGGGACACCACTAGCATTTCCCGTCCAACGAAGAGGATGCCAGTAGGTGCTGATGCAGTGGGGGACGCCCCACTGTGTACCTGTTCCATGAACTGTTGCTTAAGCTGTCCAATCTTTCCTTTTTGTTTCCATGGTGGTTCATGCTACTTCCCCTAAACCCTTTCCTTCGCCGCTCGCGCGCGCTGCTGTCGCACCACTGCAGATGAGAAACACTTCAATGTTAAAACACCTTCAAGTCTTTGGACCTTTCACCATGCCGTTCCTTCACCTTCCTTCTCAACGTGGGAATTGAGTTAACTGCAAACCAATGTCAAAGTGTGAGCCGCTCAGCCGTCCCACTTGGGTGCTGGGTGTGATCCTCTGCAAGGAGGCGCCGTTTTCATGCCGGACATCATTGTTTCCATTTTTATAACTGAATTCACTTTCTCCACTTGTATAACTGAATTAACTGATCCAACAGCCGTCGGGCTTAAAAACGAATTTGTCAGCCGCCGGGCTTTAAAACGGCACAAACCCCCCACTTGAGGCAGGTCTCCCGAACCCCCCCCCACTGTGTTCTACTCCCTACCTATTTTGGGTAACATAGGGAAATGGTACTCGACACACTTGTGTGTCGGTGCCTTTCCCTCTGTTGTCCCTTTTCTAGTCTACCCTACCCGGGCGGTTTAAGACTAAAGTCCCGCTCCCTAACTATTGCACTTAATGCGTTTCCGCTAAGTAGTCAGTAACTCTAGAGGGCTAAGTATTCAAACACACACATGAACGCACACCCCCACCCTGCCCCCCGCTTTCCTTCTTGCGCTTTTCGTCGTTTGTTGGGCTTTCTTTCAAGCTTTTTAGGTGGTTCTTGAGGCTCGTTTCCCTACCCCAGTCAAGGGCTAAGTATTCTCTTTCTGTCTTTCTTTCTTTTGTTTCTAAGGCTTTTTAGGTATCTATTCAGGTTTCTCACGCGAGCGCCGCCAAGCGGCACCGTGTGTGTGTCAACCCCTGTTCCAAAGGGTGCGACCTTTGAGACAAGCAGTTGGACGGGACACCACTGGCATTTCCAGTCCAACGAAGAGGATGCCAGTAGGTGCTGATGCAGTGGGGGACGCCCCACTGTGTACCCGTTCCATGAACTGTTGCTTAAGCTGTCCAATCTTTCCTTTTTGTTTCCATGGTGGTTCATGCTACTTCCCCTAAACCCTTTCCTTCGCCGCTCGCGCGCGCTGCTGTCGCACCACTGCAGATGAGAAACACTTCAATGTTAAAACACCTTCAAGTCTTTGGACCTTTCACCATGCCGTTCCTTCACCTTCCTTCTCAACGTGGGAATTGAGTCAACTGCAAAGTGTGTGTGCGCTGGCAGGAGGCTGAGCTATGAATACTGAAGATCTTGAGCAAACTGAAAACAAAGAGCTACAACAACACGTTTACAAAAACCAGGAGCCAAGGAGTGTGAGGAGTCTTGCAAGGTTGCGCAAACATCCAAAACATGGAACAAGCGGCATAAGTGAACAGCAAGTTGAGGCTCAGGCTAGCAGGACCTGCAAGCCCGGCAAAACATGGAACACCTGCGGGTCGATAGAGACCTGTGAGCATGGCGAGATCACAAAGGGCATGTCAGCTTCCACAAGCTCTGCAAGGCGCTCTTGCGGCACTTTTGGTGGAAAGTAATACTCCGAGCAGCCTCCTGTCACCTTGCCAAACATAATGCGGACAACTCATCACTCACAAAGGTCACATTTGCCCAAGCAATTGTGGAATCCAAGTGGAATCCAAACAAAACACAGTACAGGGATTGAACTGTCTTCACTGCAGATGACGCACCCTCTGATTGATGTGCGGGAACAATATCACCTCCTTCATTTGGTTCGCATTCACAAGAAGCATGATCAAGCGGTCAACACTGAAACCCAGGCCAGCAGAAGGTGGAAGCCCGTGCTCAAGGGCATCCAAAAAATCCTGCAGTGCCAACTACAGGCTCGAGAATTTCCTGTGCGATTTCAAAAGTGAAATTGGAAAAGTGAAAAAGCAAAGCGTGGCACATTTGGGGATACCTTTGCACAAGCGAGCCACCTCGACGCCCACCTCCTTCAGTTGATCAAAAGCCGCTCGCTGAGCATGTGGATCGTTCTGCTCAGAGTAGCCATTGCTAATCTCTTTTCCTGATATGATTAAATCAAAGCGTTCTGCTCGGCCTGAGGCAAATCAAAACCGCGCACCTGCATTCGCAGATTGCTAGTCACATTGTTGGTATCTCACGCCTTGCTTGCTACGGTGCTCTTTGGCCATTGAAGCTTCCATGGGTGGATCAATAACCTCGAGTTTGCGATCAAGCAACAGCTCTGCAAGAAATTTGAATCAAGGAAGCTGGCGTCTCAGCGCAGCACAAAGGTTGGATTGAGCAAATGGTGCAACTTCATGCTCTCAAAGAGCTTCTTCAACAAGCGGTGCGGTGTGCGTGGCTCTGAACCTCACACGCTCTGCTGCGGGCGTACTAGAAAAGTTTGTAACTTGTAATTATCTCTGGCAATCAAATTGTGGCTACGCAACACTGCACATTGTTTGTAAAGGCAATATCCTCCAGAACTTCGTTGCATTCCTCCGAGTTGAAATCACGTGGGATCTGCCTTTCTGCCAAACCCTCAACCTCTTCGACAATGGAGACTCGAGGCCATGGAGGAGTGAAATCCAAGAGCACTGGAAGATGTGAGTCTCCACATCCATCAGGGTGATACTCCAGCTGGTAGCTTCCATTGAAGTGAAGGACAAGGCTGGAGAATAAGTCCTGGCAGCTTGGACTTTCAAATCCACATAAATAAACAAGACTTGCACTGTGCACGTGTCCTCTCTACTAGAGTGTAGATAAGTGAATATAAAGTCCACATAGCAGCATCTTCGAGTCTTAAAGCAAGGTCCGCCAATTTGCTGCTACAGTGAGCGAGCAGTTTGAGTGGAGCAGGGTGGAGCTAAGCAATGTCGGTCCTCCACAAGGCACATGAGATCGTTGTAGTCATGGTAAGCCATGTAGAGCTCACAAGTTGTGTGCTCGGGATCTGCATCCACAGATGCGTTGCGGAAGCAGCGGCCCAGCTCAAAAATCCGATCAAATCCACCGACCAGGAGCATCTTCAAAAACACTTCCGGCTCAGTTCTGAGTGACAAGTCCATGTTCAGCTCATTCGATCTCGTCTTGACAGCCTGTGCGCTGGCCTCAGTGGACTAGCAGGAGGCAACTCCTAAACCCTAACCCCAAAAACCTGTCTGGCATGGCTTGCTAGAGAAGCAGAATAAGGTGTAGGAGTCGTTTAGCTGGCCTGGGCTGAAAGCTCACGTGTCTGAGCTTCAAACAACACCGGTAGTACAAAGAATAGGGGTTTCGACTTCGTGGAAGCCTCGCTGTTTCAAATACTTCCGGATGGAGGTGATGATCTCAGCTCGCTTCTTGAACTTCAGCTGAGAAGAAACCTGGCTCAAACATCAGAGTTCATTATTGCATTGAAAATAGAAAGAAAACAGAAACCGTAGAAAGCCTTATGTTACTGATTACGGTATATTGTGATTGGTTCGAATCTCCACACTTGTTTGCTCATGTTTCGAACTGCAATGACATGCACTATGCAAAGGCAAGGAACATTTGTCATCAAATCCAAATACCTTCTGCGGCATTTCAATACCGGATCCAATTTGGATTGCTGTACCGGGAGGTTGTGCCAACATGGGGCCAACAATTGCAGCTTTGTAGCGAACACTGAGAGCTCGCCTTTGCGAGTTTTCCCCACTTCGCCCTCGACGCCAACAACATCATTGCGATTGATCCGAGTGGAATCGATCAAAGTAGAGCTGTCACAAACTATCTGGATTGAAGTGCTTTCATTGACAACGACCATGAATCCTGGGCGGACAACATCTGAGTTTGCATGACAATTGAGCACAAAAGGAACAAGGAGTAAGGAGCAAGCATGAGTCCAAATCAGCAAGCTTCCTATGACACAAAAGCCAGCTTTGTTAGAGAAGAGTTACAAATTAAACACGAGTATGTATAGAATTTCGGATCTTCACTGAACATACAGAAAAGTTATACTCGTGCCGAAGATCTGAGCTTTCCAAAGTCACGCTGTGCCACCAACCTTCCTGCAAGGGTCTTCACTCCCTGGACTCTTCCTCCATTTGGCAGGTGCCCATACATCCTGATGCACAAGCTACGGCTGTCAATTCAGGTACGGCTGAGAAAACAAAAGAACAGCTCCGAGACAATCAACTTGTAAAAGGAGTTCTGCGGTTGAAGGTCTCCGCATCAACACACAACGATAGCATATGATGTATGTCCTCCTGAGTTCTTCTGCGGTAGCATTTGTGCGCCAGGCATGGGGGTATACATCTGGTGAACTTCGAAGGCTTACGCGCCTGGCAAGAAAAACACTGGATACAATGGTACGTTCCTTGTCGTCCCAAAAAGCGGCACTGATAAGCAGCATAGCTTCGCTGTAAAGCCTGCCTTTTTCTGCAAAAGTCATCGGATGAATCAGACGACATGCCACCCGCTGCAACAAAACGGAGAGTTCTATCTTGCCAAAATGCAAAGAGTTCTTGCTGTGGTCGGCCAAACATCTGTCTTTGCCACTTGCAGTCATGTGCTTTAAAGAATATGTTCTTCTGGGCCCTTGTGCAAAGGTTTGCCACCCAGGGAGCCATGAGCCGGCCCCACTGATGCAAAAGTGCAAATATGACGTGTAAATATAAATAAGTGTCTCTGTGAAATTATTGACGCACCTTGAACATGGTCGCAAAGTCGCATAGGTAAATGTGTTAGCACGTAGTAAATGTGTTAGCACTAGGGTACTACACGCGCTTTCCCTTCGCCAGCTTTTGAAGGTTGTGATGGACAAAGAATAATCGCACTTTTCCGCTGTTGTTTGCTGACAATTGATTGTCGTTCATGCGCTGCCCAGTCTCACCGGATTTCTTGGAGAAACCTGAAGCAAATCAAGTGACTGAGTTTGTACATTCAACAGGACACAGCTTCTTGTTTTGTCCCTGGCAGCAATTGTGCCACAGTTGTCTAAATTTAGAAAAGTCACTATTGCCAATTGCGCAATGCAGAGTTACAATATTGAAATAGCAGTGGATGACATGGCAGCTGCAGCATTCTAAGTTGGTGTTCAATTGCACCTCCATATACTGTAATATATATATATATGTTATACATATGGATATTGTACATATATGTATAGTTAATATATATATATTAATGTGTTAATGCCGACCAGGGACCAGTGCCAAAACAAACAAGCTTGACAGATCACCAAGACAGCCCATCTACAACAATCAACGGCAAAGCTCTAGGGATCTACAGTAACTCAAACTTAATGAATCTTACACATTCTTTTCAGAAGAATGATCTTGCTTCAAAATTTTGATATTCAATTTAACAACAAAAGTTTTATTCTCATGGGTCTTGCTCTATTGCAAAATGTTTGAGCTTCAATCCTCAGATCAAACTCTAAACGCATTGCGACTCGTGTAAGCATATGTTCAGTGTCTTGGCACCTCCAGTGCTTGAAGAAGATCTCGCTGATGGTCGTGGTAGCCCAGCAATGTCCCTAAGTTGGTCGGACAGAATGTTTCAGGTGCGAAATGTACATCATTCTGTGTAGGTTCATGGCCCCCATGTCTGGAAGGGATCAGTGCGAGGCCTTCAGCAAAAAGAGTTTCAGTCTTCAACGGAATGTTCACATTGGTCTGTCTCGCCTCTTCATTTCAGGTTGTTCTTCGGTCCTTGGACACCCATTTATGCCATATGCCAGACTTAGACTTAGAGCTTATCTGTCTATTGCTTTGATGTTCGAGAAAATCTGAGCGCAGGTCTGCTTCTCTGAATCAAAAAGCTCCGTTGCCTCCAGGGCTTCCTTGGACTCTTGGAGGCATCCTCTCAACCTTCCACTACTCCAACGACTCTTTGAGCACTGAGGTCCAGCACAACTTGCTTCTGGGCATCTTGCAAAAACCTCATCTCTCAAAATCTGTCAAATCTCTGGGAGTCCACCAAGTGACTGTTCTGCAACTCAGGGGATCACCAAAGAGCAGCCTCTGGCTCCTGGAAAAGATTCAGCCAAGTCTTAAGTACACCTTGGATTCTGTGATTGGTTCTCTTTAAGGTAAACAGAATCAACCAAAGACTTGCTCAGCTCAGCCTGCTTGTTTACCCCAAATCATTATATATATATAATTTTCAGGGACATGAGGAATTGAGCTCGGGTCACACTCAAAACATCTCAAAACAATGTTGAGCTGAAAGTGTTCGGCAACCAAAGCCAAAGCCCAATCCTACCAAATCCGATGCGTCTGACGGTAACGTCATGAGACAGATTCTTGCCGCACACAAGCGAATGTCCTTGGCCAAAGCTGTATCACAAATCGGTGTCATCGCCACAGGGGAGTTGCAGTGTTTTTGGTGCACCGCCTGAAAGCAAACAAAGGTTACAAAGAAGTAGCTGGACCGATGAAGTAAGTTCGCACAGCTGGTTGCTCAAATGAATTGGTTCAGAAGTGTCGCAGCCGCACCAACAAACACATCAAGCGGTCGATTCAGCAAGAATGAGGGCGAAATTGGCATTCGGGAACCCTCCGCAGTCGCCTGCTCCTCTGCTGTGGGAGTGACCTCAGAAGACTTAAGCCAAGCTATGGCTGCCTGCAGCACGGTACATGTTTCGGATTTAGAATACTCGAACTTATATCTTTTTTGAATTAACACGGTGACAGTCACCCCCTATGTTTGGACCTTTCGCACTTTGTAGTCAAGCAAAGCCATAAAGTGACATCTCTGAAGAATTTAGTAGTGCTGACATGCGCTGATTCTCTTCGTTCAAAAAAATAAATATGCTCGATTCACTGCCAGCGCAATGTCCTTCGCATTACAGCTGAGAAGCCTACGAGTTCAAGAGCCTGACAGGTTCTGAATCCAGTCTGGTAAAGGGCAATTAAGATGGTGCTGCCCTGCAGGTTGTGGGAAATAACTCAGGAATGCCGTCCGCGGAAAAGTCGATTGAATTAGGTGTCGCAGCTGAGTTGGAATATGGCATCCTGTACCACCAGCATTGACGTACCAACTAAAACATCAGAGCATGTCACCTCAATGCTCTTGACATGGCTGCTAAAAAACACACACAATGCCTCCGGTATCAATGCATTCTCAACCACACGTTGCTTTGATACCTAGCCAGGGCATCAACAGTGGCAACTAAAAAAGGGAAATGAAAAGCCGAGCCTCTTTCGTCAGCGCATACATAAACTCCTTATCCACCTCCGAACCTCAATGTGGTTGAAACAAGTCTGACTCTAGCCGCTAGCCGTACGATGGCACGTTGGGAAAGCACGCAACCAGAAAAGCAAAATAGTAACACGGACACCGACGGTCACACACATTGACATGCTTTGCGGTGGTGACCGTCGAAACCCGGCGTTGTTTCTGCAGACGCTGTGTTTTGAGACGTCCAAGACGCTCAAGACAGAAAGGGTAGCAACGTCTACGACTCAAACAAAGAGCGACAACCGTCCCCATGGGCGGCATTAGCTCATTAGGGTTCTCTGTTGAATTGAAACAGTTGGGGACAAGCTGGGACATGTTCTTCCTCAGGATAGATTATAGATTTTTGCTCTGGATTCGTGTCCAACGAGATTCTCGATGCAGAAGAGCTATGTTGCAAGCGTACTCCAATTTCGGTCCCATGGTTTTGCCAAACTCTGAAGTATGTGGAAGTTTGCTGCCCAAGCTTTACATTCCTTGCACATCACAAGTCGTGGAGTCCGATGTGTTTCGCCTCCTGTTTTTTGGACACCCTGGTCAATGACCCTAATGTACGTTCTAACTTCGAACAATGAACAAAGAAGAAAACAATGACCGCGCACCGACACCACAGTGACTTTCACATGTCACCAAACCTGTGTGCCAGGGTCTACAAAGCAACCTTTCACTTGATAGCTTCATTTGCTCACAACAAACAATCTCACCAAAAAACATTAAGAAATGTGTTCAAAAGTGTACTGCAATTCCAAGATTAGTTGGAGGAAACAAACGGCGCAAACACATATTATAGTATATGACTCGAAAGAAACAAAGACTCAAGTAGACCGCAAAATGTTTCAACCTGAATGACAGGAATCAATGTATTAGAAAGGGACTACGGAGGATCACGGACGATCCAAGAAACGTGTCCTTGGAGTGGTGATCAAGCTCCAACACGGAAACGTACATGAAAGTCGTTGAATTGCACATCTTCTGACTACACGCGGATGTGGGGAATGTGGGTCAAAGCACTCTCACCCTAGTAAGCCCTAGCAAACATCTCGAAAATGAACAAACAAGTCATTTATTGACATGGATGACATGGGGATGTTTATCTACAGCGTTCTGAGCTCCTGAGTTTTGACACTCTTTGAGCCACACCCACGTGACTCTACAACACGTTCCCAAAGATCAAGACCCTGGCTTGAGACTGTTGTTGTGCCCACAACACCTCGGAGTTCGAGTCAGTAAGGAAGTGGAGCAACCAATATATAATGAGGATAGGTCTCAAGTTGCAAACGAAACAATCAAAGGACAGTTGGATTTATATATATATAGTTGGATGGCTTTGAGAGGTATTGACTATTGAGCTTGTGTATTTCCATTGGAACCTGTTTGGCAACGGTGGACGCTGCATGCAGCTATCACCTTCAGTGTTTGATGAGTGGAGGATGCTAGCTCAAAGGCATTCTGGACGCGCTAAAGCACACACACCTTGGCTTTGGAGCCTTTCAAACGCAACCGGAGATGGCTGTGAAGTAAAGGCTTGGCCTTGCTTTGACATAGTTGCACTACGGTGATCAATACATCAACACCTAGTCAGTCAGGCTGAACCAAATTTAATGCTAGCTAGACGAGATGATGGCGTGCAAAGCAACAAAAGGCCGCGCTCATGACTGCAGTGTGAGATACAATGATACATGCACGATGTTGTCAGGTAGACTTGAGACGCCCGGTGAAAGAGCCCATTAGAGCAATCGGTCGATGAGTCGATGGTGCACAGTTCTGGGTGTCGCACTTGCTAGAAGCAATGCAAGCCTCTGGACCTCAGTTTCAATCACATGTCGTTTGACCAACAGGGTAGGATTACAGCAAGTAGGCGCGGTTGAAAGTTGAAACAAATATCGCCCTCTTTAGCCCCAGTTGTCTCTAGAACTAGAAGTGAAAGTTGTCGATAAACAAGCATATAGTCAGCACTACAACTGGGATCAGTTTCCCAGGTCCAGGCCCATTCATCGGGATCTGTTTCTGCCTGAAGCTTCGATCGACACGCTCAGTCACCCAAAATCCCTGGGTGACAGAATCCGTCAGAATACAGTTCAATTACTGTACTTCTTCCCTTCACCACTGTTGACAGAGATCCTAAACACACGTCTTGAAGGCAAAAAATCTGGACGGTGCATGGCCATGAATCAAACCATTATGATATTGTATGCATGTGCAGGGAACCTTGACCAGGATAGCTCGCATGGCTGCTTCATTCTTCTTGAGATTGCTATCCTGGCCGCAATGCCAAACTCTGTGTGAAGCTCTACCAGCACTGTGTCCACTCGTTTTCCAATTTCGTCAGTTGTTGGTTGGTCCTTTCGCATTGGTATCGACAGCAAGAAATCCATCTTCTCGTCCCGGGACTTTGCCTTCAAAAAGATAGAGAGAGAGAGAGACAAACAGACCGGCAGACAAAGAGAAAAATGAAAACATCCACACAAATGTCTATGTATGGCAGCCAGGTCAGGCCCAGCAAAGCTTTTTGAGACTCTAGGTTTGCAGTACTTCAAGTGTTTCACCATGTTTTACTTTTGGCATCATTTGGCCAAAGCGCAAAGTATCAACTGCTCTGACGGTCATTGTGTTTACTAGGCCACTGCACCTCCCAGTTTTCGTATGCATCCTGAACATCCTGCATGGCTTGTGCTGAATTCTCAGGAGCAGCAGGCTTCCAAATCTGCCAGTTGAGTCCGCCACTTTGTTTGTAAAGCTTGGCAGTGGTTCTCGTTCAAGTTCTGGTTCTCAGGGTCGGTAGAATTAGGAGCAAACCGCCAACACAAGGCTGAAACAAACCTCGGCAAATGGCACAAATGAACAGCCAATGCTGGAGATACCCTTGGTGTCAGGCCCATGGAAGCGTCATCGGTTGCAAGAAGTTCCACTAAATGTCCATGCCACTTGTTGGAAATGAGGGAGAGAAAAAAACGTTGACAACCAAGACGTACTGATAGTGTTGATCTTCTACTGTAGATCTCGTGCACCTCACGCACTGCTGGGCAATACAAGTGTAATGGCCCAATGCTATCAGTATTCAGAATGCAGGAGTGTAGTTGCGTCACCGAGCTATTCCAAACCTGTGAGCTTACCAAATAAACGGAAAATGCAAGAGAACAGAAAAGGTGCAACACTGCAGCTTGTAGTGTACGGGAAGGCACAATGCCAAGGAAGGCATGATATGACCACTGTCAATGTTGTTTGCCCAACTGCGTCTACCAAACACTCGAGCCACTAGAGAATTGTCCCCTGTTTTTACTTGGTTGCAGGTAGTCCAAGGCAAAATCTCAAATGCAAATGCCACATGGCAAGTCGTGATAGCCTCGCTACAAGGATGGAGGCCGTCGCTATTAGGTTGGAGGCCATTTCTTCTAGGTTGGACGATAAATTAAACAAATGTTTGAACTAAACACTCTATATACAAGGATGTTACAACATTTTGATCCGAGCTGTGGGAGCTGTGGCAAAACGCTCTCAGCATCGGCGGACCTTTTGGCTGCGACAAGCAGCGGTCGCTGTAAAACTCAGAGTCTCGGCCAAGTGTCAATGCAACGGTCCGAATCCAGGCGCCCGGTAAGGCCCACAGGCTCAACTTCCAAAGAGGAAATGAAATGGATGGAGATTCTTCAAGAATTCAAACTCTCAACGCACTTAAGAATTCTCCTGCTGCCAGTATGCCTCTAAAACGACTCTATCCCACTCTGCCATCGATGCAGTGCAGCCACGAAAGTTGTGGGCGCAGCGCTGAGCCTACGTGCTAGCGACGCTGCAAGCTGAAAAACTCCTTCGGAGCGCCAGGACAGCGCATGGAGGTCAATGAAAGCAACCTCCGAAACTACCGCCATTTCGGTCCATTCCACATACTTGTTCGCCCGTCAGGTCCAGACAAGCTGATTCAATCAAGGCTTAGTACAGAGAAATGGCCTCAAAAAACCATTGAATCATAACTCATTTCAGGAAAAAGCCATAAGAGTGCAGGCCAATGCCCATCAAATTGACCTTGGTGACCAAAACACACACGAACCGCTTAGGAAGTCGCTTAGGAATGCGTTCGTGTTCAACTCTCGCATCCCTCACTGAGGTTGCTACACCAATGTAACACACCCAAACAACCTGAGCCATCCGATTCATCGTTCCTCTGAGCTGGAGCGATCCATCAAAGGCTCCAACCAGAAAGCCAAAGGCACCAATCTTCGCGCTCTCCCGAGTGTCCCAACCAAGCTGAAGCCTCGTAGAGCATGCACAAAGATCAAGTTCAGCATAATCAAACCCAGTACTATCTGCAACGCAACAGAACACCTCTCTGCAGGGCCTGGTGTGCAGGTACCCAGCATAAACAAGCCATGTGATCAGCGCCCAAGTCTCCTGTTTCTGGGTCGAAAAGATTGAACACCTCTGAAAAACACCATGTGGCAGCTTTGGCACTGCCAAGCAAAGCTCCTTTGGGTCCCAGCTCCAGTAGTTCCCCCATGCTTCGTTGGCCCAAACTGCTCCCGAAACAATGCCGATGGTCCTTGCTATGATGCGAAGAGAGAAGGACAATTAAAAGTGATTTGTTCGCCAGCAAGTGACAAACCTTTACTGGTCTGTCAATGTCACAAAGTCTGAGGCTGTGTCAAAAAGCCAAATCCCAACAACAATGATCTATAAGCCAGATCATCCAATGTGATCGCAAGTTGATCATCCTGCCGCAGGGCCAGAATCACAAGTGAGCTGCATCTTCCACAGGTGTTCCATCGCCGCTTGACTGTACGTATGGTTCACCAGTGTGACTTCTCCAGCGAGGCCTCTGACAAAACTGCGGATGCAGAGGACGAGGAGAACTCGACTGTGACCTGAAGAAGGAAAGGCTTCACAGGGTCCAAGACACCACCTCACTCCTTCGAATAATACAAACATATATACTACTCACCAGTGACTTAGGACTTGTCGGACGTATGCCAAAAAATCAATGTCCTATCTCATGAAGAAAAGTACTTTTTGACCAGTGTTTGGTCCACAACTCCTATCTCATAAAGCCTAGCAAGGCAAAACAGGAACGCTCTTGAGTTTTTTTGTTAAACAAAAATGGTGTGCCCAGGGCATGTGTGGCCGGATGCCAACACATGAGATAGGACTTGTGCTGCTACCAGTCCATGTCCTAGCATGTCCTTGGATGTCCTTGGATGTCTGTGCATGGCTACATGATGGTTGCTTAGGCGCGTGGGCGGCACGACGTGAGATAGGAGGTGACTGTTTCACAATTGGTGTTTCTCTGTGACAGATTGTGCACGATTGTGCACTTTTTTGGGGGGTTAGCCCTCAATACCTGGTGTCTCCGGAGATGTGCATGCAGCATGAGTTGGGACTTGTTGGCATTCTGCGGTATGTTACTCCTGTCTCATCATGGAACATCTGGCTGTTCTGAAATGGCGGGGTTCCATTCGGCCTCATGAGTTAGGCCTTGTGCTGCACAACTCCTAACTCTTTGGATACTCAAAGTCTTAACTCACCAGTAGGTAGTATAATGGTCCAAATCCATTCCAGGCACATCTGCGAGTAGGGATGAGCTTGTACATGTATACTACTGACTAGTAACTTAGGACTTGTCGGACATACACGCCAATTCCAAAAGCCTATGTCATCAGGATTGATCCAACATTGGCATTTCCTCTTAAGGCCTATGTCATCAGGCCACAACCATGATATTCATAGAAATATGTATGAGGTATTCAAGGAAGCAGCGCCCGCAAAAACACACAGTCGCACCCTATGTCACCACTGTGTCACCAGGGTGCCAGGCAGTGGTATCTAGCATTATTTAGCTGTGTTCTTACATTTTTTGTCGAGGAGGTGTCCACAGGTCCTATGACACCAGGTTTCCCAACCCAGACATTTTTTTGCTCGATATGTCAGGGCACATGACTTAGCATGGGGGTAGCCAGATTGGTATGTCACTTGCATCACGTTGGCCTAAGTCATTAGACAGTAGTATATATATATACACATACATATAATATATATATAATATATATATACATATGTAGTAAATTAAAGTCTCCCCTTTTACGGCTTTGGCTTCTGCTAGCCGATAGACACACTGACGCTCATTGTGCGAGATTCTCAAACAGAACAAATGCACTTGTGTTGTTGTGAAGGACCAGCTTTACCATGCTTTACCCAACACACAATTGGTCCGTTTTTGCATTGTTCTGGGGAAGCATGGTGTTCCAGTCTCTGGCGTGCATATAACCTACTAGCGAGGGCCAACCAAAGAGCGAAGCCCTCCAACCTAATAGCAAGGACGCTACTGGGGGCTCCTGGCCTTACTACTAGGAACAAGAAGCTCTAGGGGCTCCTGGTCTCCAACCTAATAGCAATGGCCTACTCAATGGCCGAACTCAGTGTCTCCATAATGAGGCAGTGGCATTGGTGGCACTTACAGACACAGCAGAGGTTGTCACTGCGGCCTGTCTGGCAAGAAAGACTCGCGGTGTTGCCGTTCATTGGGAGTTGCACCATCTGTGACTGGCTTGTTGGTGCAACTGCATACTTTTTGCCTCCACATCCTGTTCCTTCTTGTTCGCAGTGTTGCCAGCATCGAGCGTGGTGCCCGTCATTGCCATGGCCTGAATCCCGTTTGAGCTCCCATGACTTCATATAATCAAGAAAGGGACTAACTTATACAAAAAACAAATAAAAGATCGAAATAGCATTGTCATTGGCATGTGTTCCTTAAATATGTTCTCCTCAGTAAATTGCTTTACGTGCAACTGACCAACCCAAGAACCCACGGCCGCCTGTCCAGCAGTGGCAACAGCCGGCTGTGGCCTTGACTCATCCACATCATTTGCGCAAAAATAACCCCAATGTCCACCTCCATGAATACAGCACAGGTATCAGTAGCTTGAACATGCTTGAACTACAACTTCCCAATCAAGGATTAAGAGTTGAACTGAGCTATTCACATTTTGTCCACTGTTTCATTCCGTTATATAAACCCTTGGTTGGTTGGTGCTCAGCACTAGTGCTAGGCCACTCCCGTCTTGGGAACATGCTGAAGGCCGTTCGCAAGGCCCTGCAAAGCTGGCTGCACTGCCTGACGCGAAAGTCACCTTCTGTGAGCCATTGTTCCAATTAATGCAGTCAATGCTCACTGCATGACTCGGGTGATTCTACCGTGACATGACAGTCTGACATGACTCATGACTTAGGGAGTTGGACCTGGGCCTCATGTCATTTCATCTCCCAGCTTTGACAAATCCTAGCCTCTCGGATGGCTGTAATGGGACTTTCCTTGGGCTGGCTTAGTGCCAGCACAGCCATGCCTCAACAGCAAGAAAATTGATGCCAATGTCTGATCCACCTGTGATCCATAACCTTCTAGTGAAAGATGTGACAGTATATGAAAACATGTGCGACGAAGGCCCCGACAAAGCACAGATCCAAACAGGAGTGTGGCATACGAGCACATCACAACCTTGCAGTCTTTCAGTATTGCTCGACTTACTGTAACTTTTCCACACTGGTCCAATGCGATTCCTTTGCAAATCTGAGGTTTCCACAGAGACATGCATCACCAGCCAGTTCGACCTTGGCATCATGCAGAGTGACTCGAGTGTTGAATTGTGTCCATTCCCTGCGAATCTTGTTTGATGTGTGTTGAATGCAATCTACTCAATTCTGTTCGTGGCTTACAACAGCTTCCGTGAATTTGTGTCTATCTCTTCATCCCTCATCAAAGACTTGGTGCCTTACTGCAGTGCAGGAACCAATGCTCCAGCCTTTTGCAAAGCCTGACAATGATCAGAGTGAGACTTTGGTGGTGGCTTTCCTCCCCCAGCTTAGCATTTGTGGTGACAATCGTAAATTATATATACCAACCCATGGCATGGCACCGGGCATTAACATATATTAACATCAGGTCCTTTGAGGTTGTAGCAAGACATTTGC